AAGTGCAAGGTGATGCACATTGGAGCCAAAAATCCTAAATATAAATACACGTTGATGGGGTCTGAACTGGCAGAGACTGATCAAGAGAGAGATCTTGGAGTTGTAGTAGATGTCGAGACAGTGTGTGACTGCAATAAAGAAGGCCAATGCTATGCTGGGGATTATTAGGAAGGGTATTGTAAACAGATCAGCCAATATCATAATGCCGCTATATAAATCAATGGTGCGACCTCATTTGGAATACTGTGTGCAGTTCTGGTCACCACACCTTAAAAAGGATATTATAGCTTTGGAAAAAGTGCAGAAAAGGGCAACTCGAATGATAAAAGGGTTGGAACACTTTCCCTATGAGGAAAGGTTAAGGCGCTTAGGGCTCTTTAGCTTGGAGAAACGACGACTGAGGGGTGACATGATTGAGGTTTATAAGATTATGCATGGGATAGAGCAGGTAGAGAAAGAGGTAGTTTTCTCCCTTTCTCACAATACAAGAACTCGTGGGCACTCAATGAAATTGCTGAGCGGTCGGGTTAGAACGGAAGGAAGTACTTCTTCACCCAAAGAGTGATTAACACATGGAATTCACTGCCACAGGAAGTGGTGGCGGCTACAAGCATGGAAGGCTTCAAAAGGGAATTAGATAACCATATGGAGCAGAGGTCGATCAGTGGCTATTAGCCACAAGGTATAGATAGGGGCTTTGGGGCAAGTGATGCTCTGTCTTCTTGGTGCTTGGGGGGGGGGTCAACAGTGGGAGGGCTTCTTATGTCCTGGCCCCACTGGTGGACCTCCTGATGGCACCTGGTATTTTTGGCCACTGTGTTGACAGAGTGTTGGACTGGATGGGCCTTTGGCCTGATCCAACATTGGCGTCTCTTATGTTCTTATGGTTCCCTTTTGGGGCCCTTTTTAAAAATTGGTGTGACATTTGCTACTTTGGAGTCATCCTTGCCTGTCTGTGCATCACAACCCTGGTATTCTTTGGTGGTCTCTCATCCAAATACTAAGGGAGACCCTGCTTAGCTTTTGAGAGCGGTCAGGCCAGCCAAGGCTGTATGGGCCAGCGCATTTGCTATTTTGCAGTCATCCAGTACATAGGCTGAATGTATTACTTTTATTCATTAGTAGATCAACAATTTCATATTTGAGTTTTTAAAGAACCATTGAGTATGCCATCTGGACCTGCAGACTTACCGGTTTTCAGTTTGTTTAGTAACCCTAGAACTTCGGCTCTCATCACTTCAATTTGACTCAGCTCTTGTGCCCACCAGACACAGTATTGTGGCTTACTAGATGCTTTTTGTAAACCTCTGCAGGAAACAGATGCAGGTGATTTATTGTCATTCTCCCCACCACCACTTTGATTAGATTTAGTGGATTACAAATCGTCCCAGCTAGGAAGGAGACACGTCGCGTCGGAATTTGTACATGAAGGACTGTCGCCTGCCATATAAACCGATGTGCTACTTAAAATAATCAAACCAACCACTTTTCAGCTATTCTGCCACCAGATCTTGGACCTTTCCGGTTTTACTTCTCACTCTGTGAAATGGAATGCCAGAGGTTTGCTACTAGCAGATTTTTGAAAAGAAGTAGAAGGTGGTGTTGTTTTCCAGAGCTTTTAATTATTTTATTTTTTAAAATTTATTTAAAATTTCTGAGCTGCCTTTCCATTTCAAACATTTAAAAAGCATTTTAAATATATATATTTAAAACATACACAAAAGCACCCGAAAATGGAGGATGGCTAATACAAATTAGTGAAGGAACACCAAACAAACAGAAGTCTTCACTGGCTGGTGGAAGACAATGATAGAGGAACACATTGTTGGGGAAGGAGTTCCAGAATTATCAGTGCCACAGTTGAGAAGGCCCTTTCTTGGATTGCTATCTATCTCGTCTCAGATTGGTGGGGCACCCAAAGCAGGGCCATTGATGATGACCAGAGCGGTTGTGTATGTTAATATGGAAGTAGGTGGTCCTTCAGGTATGCTCGCTCCAAGCCATATAAAGCTTTAATGGCCAACACCAGCACCTTAAATTGGACCCAGAAGCCCAGTGTAGATGGAACAAGACTGGAGTGATATGGTCCTTATGATCCACTCCAGTCAGCACTATGGCTGCGCATTCTCTTGGTTTTGTTGAATTGTATTTTGGGGAGTATTAACCTGAATGTAGGTTTTTTTGAGGGGGGGTCTTTGGTTTTTATTTGTTTTTAGTGTGTATATTTAGAATCTTTTGCTTTATACCCCCTGGGGGTTATAAACATAACACTGAAAAATTAACAAAATTGTACATGTGCTGAATCAGATATTAAGGAAAACAAAAGCGAGCAAGAAACGTAATGTGAAAGGGGGGTTGGAATCAGATAAGAGCTAGCCCCACTGTGAATTAAATCATTCTCTGGCAATGATGTGCTTACATTCTTGGGGAAGACATTTCTCAGGGCTGGTGTTCCCAGTCTTAAAAAAACGGGATAAAGGTTTCTGGGCTATCTTAAATAAACTTTTCAGTTATTATATACTGTACTATGTGTGTGTGTTAACTAACAAACCTGGCTTGATTCATTTTTATGAATTATCTGCTTTGTCTAAATGTATAAATTCCTAATCCATCATTTAATATTAAACATTAGCCATGTGATTCTATGCAAGTTTATTCAAAAGTAAGACTTTATTCAGTAGAACTTATTTCTGAGTAAATTTGCATAACTATGGGCTGTAAGGCTGCAATGGAAGGGAAGAGGGGGCCATTTCACCCTCCTTCTTGTGGTCTCCCAACCGAAGTAGCTTTTTGCCCATGTGAATATGGGTCCAGCACTCTGATGCAAACCCATGAATTAAAGTCCATGCGGTCACTTTCAAATCAATGGGACCACCTGGCTTCAATGCAAGGAATTTCATCTTAATGTATAATGGGTTGGAATAAGACAGTATCATGATTTTATGCAAAGGAAAACAATCGCTTCACAGCTTTATGGCTAAAGTCAGGTATGGTTATTTGTTCTGATATGGTTTTGATTCAAGAGTTGCAGATTTAATTGATTTTTTTAAGATGGAGAGATGATCTGGGGAGCTTGCTTTACTTCCCCCATAAATCATGTTGGTATTACAGTACTTCCAGAGATGGTGCATTTCCCTGCTTATCCCTCCCCCGACTAGGGTTGCCAAGTGTAAATTCCTTCCGAGCAGGGGACTCCCGTCCGGCGTCTGGAACACGCGTGCCACACACACGTTACCCGGAAGTGACGTGACGCTGCCGGGCACGCTGGGGGCGGGGCCACGACCATCTGAGGGAAAACCATAGAGTTTTCCCTCGGATGATCATGGCCCCACCCTCAGCGTGCCCGGCATGGTTGCGTCACTTCCGGGTGACACGCACGTCGGGGTGGGGTTCCCCCCGGGGGTCTTGGCAACCCTACTCCCGACAAAGAACACAAATTGAATAACTCATAACTTGCTTCAGAAATATGTTTTATTTAAATAAAATGTGAAGGGAAATGAGAAAATGAAAATTATAACAAATGAAGATTACATTGAAAACTAATCTTTAAAGCAACTTGCCTTTAAAAATAACAGCAAGCTAGGATATTTAGTAACAAATGTATGTATTTGTAAAGATTTTTGTAAGAATGAAAAAGATTCCACTTGCCAGCCTGAATTTTAATTAGCTGTTTTTAGCATTAGTCTTTAAAAGGGAAACTTCATTGAATGTTCTCTAGTGCAATAATGAAAAGCCTATTAAGAATGTTACCTTTGAATATAAAACCAAAGTAATGTTGTAATCAGTAATGCGTACGGTTATTTATTTTGTGTATTTAATTTTTTGCCCAGTCAGACTATTTCTCTTCCCAGTGTGAAAGGAAAGTAAGTCTTGGGTTCACTGATCTTACCCTGTCCTGGAATAACTTATTTCCCCCCTCCCCGATCCCTGGGTTCATTATCTTCCTTTTAGTCCCGGAATAGAAAGAGGATTGGTAGACTACTGTGCCAAGTTGGATGACACCTTCGGGTGGGGAGGGGCATGCATAGACCCAAGATTCTCTTTCTTTTCATAGTGGATAAATAAATGAATGTATGAATAGGGACTTCATTGCCATCAGGTCAGCAAAGTTATCTTCTTTTTCATTAATGGCTCAAGTTACAGTACATTCTGCGTTTTTTAATTACCAAGTAACAATATTTAGCAAAATTGCGTGAGATGTATGTAACTAGCCCTTGAGATCTTGTGAAAAGTCTCCTCTGTGTCTGCCTTCACCTGCAGATGTGAAATGGGTCGTTACCAGGGGTAGGTAGGGCCTTCTCATCTCTATGCTGGCCCCTCATCTCTGGCTTTGTCTCCCTATATTGATCTGCCTGGTGCTGAATCTACTCTTAATTGAGTTTTTGTTGTTGTTTCATTTGACTCCACCCTTTTTTTGTCTTCTGCTATTACTGTTGGTTTTACTATCTGTTAGAGAGTTATGTCTGATTTTGCTAAGCTGCTCACTATTGCCTTCTTGTTCATGTTTTCTGATATTTGGTATTTTTATTACATGGTTTTCGGCTTTGTTTTAACTTAAGATGCACATAAAGTCTGAAACTTTTAGCATGGAAATTATAATATAGTAGAGAAACTTTTATGCCATCTTTCCCTCTTTAGAAATAGCAAGGTATATATTGCATCTCAGAATTAAAATGGATACTATTCCATTTCCCCATCCCACCCCCCACCCCCATTATTTCCATTGTGAATATTGCACTCTTCTGTTTTTATGTTGTCATTTGTCTTTTGTTTGATATTTGATTCCTACCTGTATATATATCTTTTGGGATGATGAGCCATACTCGTGTTGAGAACAGACCCGTAGCTTATTTTCTTGCTTGTAGATCACAGCATCCTGTTGTAAGTTTGTTTTTAATGGTAAGAGTTACTAATATAAACATTATGGTGATCTGTATGCTGTTGGGCTCTTTGCTCATTTTATTTAAACAATATATTGTCTTGTTAATTTTTGTTCTTAGGTGAAAAACCATTTCGATGTGACGAATGTGGCATGAGATTCATACAGAAGTATCACATGGAAAGGCACAAGAGGACTCATAGCGGAGAGAAGCCTTACCAGTGTGAATATTGCTTGCAGGTAATTAAAGGGAAAAATGTTTCATAAATATGATTTTGAGTGCCCCAGGTGAATATTAAGCTTTACGATTCGATGCGTTGATTTGGTCAGTATTACATGCTTGTCTTCTGAATGTCACTCATTTTGTTGTGGATATTTCTAAAAATAATCTTGTTCTCATATTTGAAAATAATTGTGATTCATCAATATAACAAACAGACTGGGGCCATGAGGCACTTTTGGGAATTTACCCTCTGGTCATATGCACCTCAGTGTGCCTCTCTCCAGGTCTGTATAAACTGTTAGGGGTTTCACCAGGCTAATTTCCCCTCCCTTCTGTTTATCCCACTTCCAATTTAACTGACTTTTAACTGCTGTCAGCATTCCTTACTGCCTGAGGTATTCTAATAAGTCTATTTCTTTTTCTTCTGGTTAATTTACAAAGTCATATTAGTCCTCTAAGTACATAGGAATCTTTGTGTTGTCTCAGGTTGCTTTAAACATTCACACAGAGACCAGCCAGTTTACTACTATGTATAATCTACTATGGCTGCGGTCACACGTAACAGAAGCCACACAAGTGAGACGGAAGACAGCCGGAGTTTCCGGGCGCGATCTCACCAGCACATCTGGGAAGCGTAGCACTCCCGTGGCTCAACCGAGGCTTCCAGCCGAAACTGCGTGGCAAAAAACTAGTACCTTGGAGGTACTAGTTTCCGGAAACTGCGGGGCAAGGGCGGGTGTCTGATCGCGTTTCCGGTGGCATCCGGCGCCCGCCCATGTCCCCTTGCAAATAAGGTGTGTTTTTTTTGTCCAAGTCTCTGTGGATGCGCATGCGCACCCAACGGAGCATGCGCATTTGTCATGTACACAAAAATAAAAAAAAATTTGCCGCGGCGCGCGCTTCTTCGTTGTGCGCTGGCTTGTCCTGTGATCGGCACCTCTCCCTTGCCATGGAACCTCCATGGAACCTCCACGGTACCTCCACAGGAGGTCTGATCACGTAACTGCGCAGTAGTTTGCCCCAGAGCAAACAGCCACGCTTCTCCTCTGCAGTTTCCTGCCCGTGTGACCGGGGCCTATGTATATCTATCTAGATATATCTATCTAGATAGCTATATCTATTATGTATTATCTAGGAGCTGCGGTGGCTTAAGTGCTTTACACGCTGAACTGCAGGCTGTGGAAGGTCGGTAGTTCAGCAGTTCGAGACCCGAGTGTGCTGCATGACGGAGTGAGCTCCCGTCTCTAGTTCCAACTCCTGCCAACCTAGCAGTTTGAAAGCAAGAAATTGCAAGTAGATAAATAGGTACCACTTAAGTGGGAAGGTAACAGCGTTCCGTGCACCTTGGTGTTTAGTCATGCCGGCCACATGACATGGAAATGTCTTTGGACAGCGCTGGCTCTTTGGCTTTGAAACGGAGATGAGCACTGCAACCCTAGAGTCGGACTCAACTGGCTTTCGAGCAAGGGAACCTTTACCTTTATAATGTTATGTAATGTTATCTAATGTTACATTTCAACCGTGCTCTTCCTCCAAATGCTCAGGGCAGCTTTCCTGATTCTTATAGTAGCCTCAGTTTGATGACAACAACCCATTGAGGTAACTTGGTTGAATGTGAAGCATGACTGGCCCAAGGACACCCAATGAATGTCATGACAGACTGGGGATTTGAACTCAGAGCTTCTCATTCCTAGTTCCACACTCTAAGCACTATATAACGTAGTGTTCTGCATTTCAGTCCAGAAACAAAATGTATATCTTTCTCTACAACATAGTAAAGAAAGACACAAAGAACAAATATTTCTGGTTGGATGGAATCTTATGGGTCTGGTGCTCTCCTTTCTCGGACGTTTCAGAAAACTGTTGTATCAGTGAATAAGCAGAAAGGACACCTGTGCATTTTATTAATATTGACCTGTTAACATCGACATAAAGGGCTAGATGTCAAGACTGAAACTGTTTGAATTTGACAACTAATTTGCACATCTTTTGACATGGTAACTGGGTGCAGATCATTCTCTAGGGATTTGAGGAGGGTTCTTCCCTCCCTACTGAACTCCCCTTCAACCAAGCTTGATAACCCATATCTCTAATTTTGATTACCTGTTTTTCCATTGAAAAAGAAATAAGTCACCAAATATTTGCCAAAAATGCAATATGGTTTGCATTTATTTAAAAGATTTTATGTGTTTCTGTGTAATATGACCTATTTGATATCAAAGGGAAGGTCTGTGTGGAAAAGCATTCAGTCACACTCACTGACATCAGAAGTCATCGTTCATTTTATTACTTAATATTTTCAGAGGTTTTTTTACAATAACCCAAACAGCATTGCTCCAGTGATTCACTCTGCTTAACCCGCCGTAGTGAGGCTGACTGGTGCTTTCAAAAAAATTTTTTTTTAAATACATTAAAATGAAACGTGGTCAGTTATGTCCGCATTTCTAATTTTATCTATGTCAGGTTAATTATATGTGATGACCAATGTTCCCTCTAAGCTGTGGAGTCTTGTGAGCAAAAATTCTAGTTAGTGAGCTACTGGCAATAAAGTTGTGAGCGAGGGATTTGGCTACTACATAAATTAGTTTGCTCTGGAGCCACCCTTCCTGAGCTAAGACACAAATGTGTGAATCAGAGGCTAAAAAACTATGAGCTGACTCACACTAACTCAGCTTAGAGGGAACACTGGTGATGACCCCCCCAAAGCAGCCACCACCTTATGTTCCATCTCTCCCACCATCAAACCTCAATGGCAATTCTATAACCACTTAGCCATCTTTACTTCTTGCCACACTATTCTCTGGAGACAACCTCCATTCCCTCACCTAAACAGTTTCCTTAATTCCACCTCTCCGGCTTTAATGCAGTATACCTCCACCCCCAGCGCGGTCCTCCTTTTCCTTCCCTGTTGTAGTAGTTTCCCTGTGGCCTATCCTGGGTTCTAAAATAGAGATAAAATGAGTGGCTGGAAGACTGCCGTGTTGCGCTTTCTTCTCAGCTCTACTCGGGAGAGAAGAGGAGCCAGAACAGCCAACTGGGGCATAGGGCTTTTGGCAAGTCCCAAACTGGGGAGGGGGGAGTTAATGGGTCCATCTGACCAGGGCTTTAGGAGCCTGAAGGATGCTGAAGCTGAGCTGGTATAAGCCCATTTCCATGAGGGGAAGACTGAAACAAAATTGTAGGATACTGTGCAAACTATGTACATATGGTATGTCTAGATCTTATTACGTTTACTGGGATTAAACAGAAGCCGTGTTAGACCACACTGAACAAAGAGCATTCTAAATACAGCTGCTGGTAGTACAGGTCCTCCCCATCGCAGATATTCTAGGCCAAAGAGCCTAGGTCTGGGAACAGGCTGTTAGTTGGTAAATTTATAGTTTCTGGAGGTGACACTCTCCCTGCCCGCCGCCCAGTGTACACATTTGTACTTGGCCTGTGAAACAGAGGATTAGATTTTCCAGTATATTCCATAGATCCTACATGGCAGAAGCCAGTTTTTCAATTGAGGTGCAGATCCCCCCCCCCCATTTTTGCTTTCCTGTATCTCTTCATTTCTCCCTGTAGAAGTTAAACTGTTTTCTCTCTCCACCCCCATGTATTTTTCTCTTCCAGGTGTTAAAATGTGGTCCCCCCTCAGTGTTGCCTTACTCTTCCCCACAAAGTGTTTTCATCTCCTCCTTCCCCCTCCCCCCCCCCCAATTGTGAGGAGCTGCTTCTCAAGCTTTTCCTCTGTCTGTATCCTGCTCCGCATTATGGCTTTATTGCCTCTAATCCCATGCGGAAACATGGTGTTGTATATTACAAGTCCAAAAAGTTGCTAATGAGGACTTCATCATGTTACAATATAACGTGTGAATAAGCTGCTGATTTTTTTTCTAACTCAAAAATATCCTCTGCAGTTTTTCTCAAGGACGGACCGCGTACTGAAACACAAACGCATGTGCCATGAAAACCGTGACAAGAAACCCAACAGAAGTGCCACCAAAGTTGGCCTTTTGACATCTGATGAAGATCAAGGCTTCCCTATGCCTTTGAAAGACAGCTCTTTGCCAAAGAAGAAAAGGCAAAAAATTGAGAAATCAAAGTCTTCAGGGCCGGACAAGGAAAGTGGGACAGATAAATCCGAGCACAAGAAAGATAAGAATGATTTCTTGCCTTTGTATGCTGCCAGTGCTAAGATAAAGGATGAATACATGGTAGCTGAGTATGCAGTTGAGCTACCGCATTCTTCTGTCAGCGGAGGGCACTTGCAAGAACCAAACTCTGGCGAAATACACCCGCCTAAATTGGTGCTCAAGAAAGTTAACAGTAAGAGAAATCTGAAACAGTCCCTAGAGCAAAGTCAGACCATTTCATCATTAGCCTCTTATGAAGACAGCAAGGTTTCAAAGTATGCCTTCGATCTTGTGGATAAACAAAGCCTGTTGGGCTCTGAAGGCAATGCTGACATTGACCAAGTTGACACTTTACAGGAAGGCCCCAGTAAACCCGTACACAGTAGCACAAACTATGACGATGCAATGCAGTTTTTAAAGAAAAGAAGGTATCTCCAGGCAGCTAATAGTAATAGCAGAGAGTATGCCTTGAATGTCGGCACCATAGCCTCCCAGCCCTCAGTCACACAGGCTGCTGTCGCGAGTGTGATAGATGAAGGCAGCACAACATCCATATTGGACACAGCAGGTTTGAATGTGGAGATTAAAAATAACCATGACAAAAACGTCATTCCGGATGAGGTACTTCAAACTCTGTTGGACCATTATTCCCATAAAGCGAATGGCCAGCATGAAATCGCTTTCAACGTGGCTGATGCGGAAGTGACCTCCAGTATATCAATTAATTCTTCTGAAGTATCAGAGGTCACACAAACGGAGACTGTTGCATCAAGCTCTCAAGCTTCCTCATCTGATAAAGCCAGTATGTTACAGGAATATTCCAAGTTTCTTCAGCAAGCTTTGGACAGAACTAGCCAAAACGATGCCTATTTGAACAACCCAAGCCTTAATTTTGTGAGTGACAACCAGACTCTTACAGGGCAACCAGCATTCTCCTCTATAGACAAACAGGTCTATGCTTCTATACCTGTCAACAGTTTTCGGTCAGGAATGAACTCTCCGTTAAGAACAACTCCAGACAAGTCTCATTTTGGACTTATGGTTGGTGATTCCCAGCACTCTTTTTCCTTTTCAGGTGATGAGCCAAATCATTCTTCTTCTTCCTCTACCCAGGACTTCTTGGATCAGGTGACTTCTCAGAAGAAAGCAGAGGCCCAGCCTGTTCATCAAGCTTATCAGATAGGCTCCTTTGAACAGCCATTCAGAGCTCAGTACCATGGAACAAGAGCTGGAATATCATCTCAGTTTAACACTGCTAATGGACAAGTGAACCTGCGGGGACCAGGGACAAGTGCTGAATTCCCAGAGTTCCCCTTGGTGAATGTAAATGATGCTCGAGCTGGGATGAACTCTTCACCAGATGCCACAACTGGCCAGACATTTGGCTAAAAGAATCAGTAGAAATAAGATTGGCACTTTAGCACAGGTCTGTCAGAAATGAGTGTGTTCTGCGGAATCCTATACACATTTAAGGCCTTGTGTTATAACAAAAAAGTGAGCTGGTACAGCAAGTATTGGTTATTGTATTCGTTTGGTTACTCGCCATTCTTTTAAAATTGCCTTAGATGTGGGCATCCACTGAAAAGGCAGGTGGTTATTTGCTTATTTGAGATCAGGAACTTGCTACATTGAGATTTAACACAAGACAAAACAAGCCAAAAAACAACAAAAAAACTCACATAAGATTTCTTTCCTATAATCATTTCCTAGTTTGGTATCACTGAATATTTTTGGGAGAATGATAATTATGAGATTATTCGTATTGGGATTTCCTAGTTAGTCTAGCCATTGCACTTCAGCAGGGAATATGAATAGACTGTGTAGACAAAATAAACTTAAAAGTTTAAATGTTAGGATAATTATGGCTAGACAAATGTAGTGCATTCTGGAAAACAGATACAATTCTGTCACCGCTCTTAAAAATAGTTCACAAGATTCCTTTCGTTGTTCTCTTTGCATTTCCTTTTACTACACCTTGGGAAAGGTGACAATGCTTGCTAGACTCACTCCCCTATTTAAATGTCAGATTTAATTAAAAAATACTTAAAGGCAAAATACCTATTATTAATACTTCCTTATTGAAGTATTGTAAATTTCTTTGTATGTGAACATAACTTTTTGTCCTCCCCCCCCCCCCCAAGCTGGCAGGTATCATGATTGTTAGGTTTTAGTTAAAATGCTTTGTAGTCTACATTCCCAGTTTCATAATGCTTATATGAATGGTGAACTCCATGATTTAGAAGTTTAATTGTATTTCATCCTACAGATCTGCAATAATTAACATTAGAGCACTTAGATTATTTTCAATATTTTTCTGCTTTTCTCAAAAAATAAAATAAAACTATTTTAGACTTTTAGGTTTGATGTGGCTGCATCATTATGATCTCTTATAACAACAGAAGATTTTATAAACAAAAAAAAAATGAATGGAATGCCTTTACCACAAAAAGTGTATTTTCTCTTTGAAAATGTTGGCAATTCAATTTGCTTGCATTTTATGGTAAACTGCCCCAGAAAGTAAAGGAAATAGACATTCTCACTGTGTATTACCTTTATGAACTGTGGTGTTGCATTTTTGCCAACCATAGCTGCTGACTAATGACATTGACCAAAAGATGAATGGTCAAACTTTTATTGCATTTCACACATAAATAAAATGTAAACTTTATCCTTCTCCCATGAAAATGTTTTAATAGTAGTTTGTCTTGAGTTATACAGTGTGGTGCAACAATTAGTTCAATATTCAGTTTTAAAATGGTGTGGTTTGACTTAACATAAATGTTGGGATAATTTAACCATTTTTAAAATTGAAACTTTATTTTCGGTCAGTTGTACATTCATTACTGGGATGTTTTGAGAAGACCTTTAGGCTGTTGTTTCACCTAAAGATTGAGTAACAGATAGGTAAATTGTTTTTCAAAAGGTGTTAAGCATCTAGATAAGGAAGAGGGATGCTCTAATTATTTTAGAACATTATACATGCCCACCATTTCTCAAATAACTCAGCTGGCTTGAATAGTATCTCTCCCACCCAAAGAATTTAGTTGTGGCAAAGATATTCTTTTAATGCCCAGAGAAATCTTTTTTTAACTAATTAGAATTCAGATTCTTTTTTCTTTCTTTCTTTGCTCTTTCAGTGAATTTTGGGTCTATCATATAATGCACATATTAAATTCATACACGGCTACTTAAGTTTCATGCCATGTAACTTAACGGGACATGCCATGACTAGCTTCTATATAGCTTCATAGCTCACAAAATGCATTCTCATTCTTACTAGACAAACAGGCTGTCTCTGTAGCTAGTTGGAATTTTATCTTATTGTTCATTGCAAATGGCCTGAAGATTTGATACATAGGCAAGTAAGTGAACACATTTGCAGTGTCAAGATAAAGTAGCTCTTTTACTAATTTATGAGTGCATAAAAACTTAAAATACAACAAATCATTGCTTCCAAACTTTTTTGGTTTTAGTTTGTCTCCTGCCCCACACCAAGAAAAAGAGCACGTATTGATTTAAATGGAATGACTTTAGCAGAATGTTCTAGTATTCTTCTGTGTTAATGTTAACATTGCTCCAGAAAAGTAGCAAGAATGGCATCTGATCACTAACATATTGCAAAATCAGTTCCTTATTAAGAAAAGCGAGATATGTATCCCCATTCAATAAGTGTAGGGAAACGGCTAAACATGGAATGTGCACATGGATGTGGCAAGAGCATGCCCGCTGATCAAAGTCAGTGCATTGAGTTGGGTTATGGTGCGAAGACATGGGAAGGTAATAGGAATTTATTTTATTTATTTATACATTTGGCTTATATACCGCCCTGACCCCGAAGGGTCTCTGGGCGATTTACATACAAAGTCTAAGTCTACTTTCCCTATCTACGGCCACATGGTACAGGGGCAGGGGCTGCCTACCGGCACCCAGGTGATAGGGCTTGCTGTTCTCCGGCTCGGCTCCTACTTCTTCTAGGAAGCAGTAGAAAGAACTGGCTAGGATCAACACGAGCCTTTGTGTGCAGTCAAGCACTTCCAAGGAAGCCATACAGGGCTGTCCATATTTAATATTCGGACAGAAACTTTTTTTTTTGTGCAGAATTGCAGATTGCTCCAGAAGGAACTTAAATTGCTGGAGGGGCTTACCAGGGGTGTGAGGGTCTATGGATGGAACGGGGAACAAGGAGCCCTGTAGCGTATATAGACTCTCCAAAGTCTGTGCAGAAGCTGTACCTGTGGCTTTTTGCTCTTGAAAAACCTGTACAACCCTACGAGAACCTGCTCCCGAATTGCTTTTTAACCAGAAGCAAATTAATCAAGTCATATTTTTATCCTTGTTGATTATCTTACACATTTATTTTGTGCACATTAGGAGATAGTACCAACAAAAATACTGCCTTATTTTGGTGGAGTAATGATTATTTAGGGCATCTTGGGCTACAGCTTCATTCAGCGCAATGGTATATCTGCCACTCAGCTGACACTGATGTCAGGTTTAATAGACGGTTTTTCTCTCAGTCTTTGACCAGTTATATTTTTTCAAGTACATTGAAACTAAGTGTCTGGTTTAACACTAATTTTTCTGTCCTTTTTTACTATGGCTATAAATGTGTTGATGAAGGAATTGGCTTTCTGGCTTACAGCTGAAGGAGTCACATTATCTTCTCTTGGTCTTACTAATTCAGGGTAAACGATTATCAGTGACAATTTATCTGGAGAGAAAAGTAGCATCACATACTGCAGTGCACTAAAGTTTTGACAGATATTTTAGTTTAAAAGGTCTTTTAAAAAAAAATTATTTGAATCACTGCTTACTGCCTCTCCTGAAATCAGTGTAAAACAATTATTGTATATTCCCAGGTATGACAGGTTGCCAGTGTTTTGGAAAAGGAAACAGTGCAGAGAAAATACAGTGAAAGCCTGAAAGTTTGCAGATTGCTAATGGGAATGCCTGATGATACCCACAGAGGACTATTTCTCCCTTGTTTTCTTCGATGGTGTAAAGCCATGTAATTGAAGTCTCACAATAGTATGACTAACCAAATACATTGCATAACATTTATTCATATACTATGAACTATAAATACTGCAAATTAAGCCACATGAAATGTCATATACTTGCTTTTGTTAGCCTGTTTTGTGATTTATTTTTTTAAATGGGTTTTTCAAGTCATTAATGAGAAATAATGAGATTTTAGTGTAGCTCTTGGGTTTCAACTCCTTGGTTTGGGGCTCTGAAAAATCTCCACATGGATACATAAAGCATATTCCATGCAAACTATTTATGTGCCTATCATGTTGCATAAATATTTGAAGAGAATCCAGTGTGGATCCAGGATCACTTTGCTTAAATATTTCAGTATTAACTTGCTTTGTACTTGTAAAACTTCTGCCTACAGTTTTGTTGGGTATATATTTAAGTTCCTTTGCAAATTGCAGGGGTATTGCTATTACAGTAGAGCTCAAAACTTCAGTGTGCTTGTAATCTGGATATTTCAGTTGGTAAAAACTCATGTAATTTCCTTTCCCAATTGACACAGTTAATAAATTAAAAACTATTTTTATGTTTTCTTTAGAAATTCTGCTCAACAGAAGCCTTGCAACTTTTGGAAATGCTTTCATTTTATGTTAGTGCATGTTTGTTAGGTATGTAGCAAATTCAAATACTCTTTGTTGCAAAGAACATATACTGAGAAAGTATTACAGTGAATGGAAAACATCATGTTAAAAATTAACTTTCATTATTTTAAAACTACTTTGTTTCAGGGAAATTTTCTAGTTGCTTTTGCTATATCTATATAAAATCATTGTTTCCTCTTTTGAATAATAATTTAACAAAGAGAGAATTTTTGGTAGTGAACACAAACTGAAACAAGCAAACCTTTCTCAGACTTGTTTCTTGCTTTCTTTATCCCAGTGGATGGAAAGGTAAAAATTGTGTAAACGTTATTTTATTTTTTTATGCAATATCGTTCTGTAAATATGAGTTATCAAATAAGGATGTACCTATGATTGAATCTCTGATTCTGCACAGTTAGAGTTTATATATAAAATATAAATGTGTTTTGACAATCAAGGACTTACTGTCAGTCTTCCTTTACGATGTTTTATTAATGTTATGCATTCCATTTGTTAGACTTGAGTACCAATGTGGGAATTTGTATTGTCTGTAAAGTATGTAATGTTTTTACAGCTTGTTTTAAAAAAGGAAAAAAGAACCTTGTAAATGTATATAAACAGAACACAGTACTGCTTTATATCAGGAGGCATATGATGTACTGTATGTAAGCAATAATGCCTAACAGTGCTAACTTTACAAGTAGCATAAAGATAGTTCCAAAAATTGTTTGGGGAAGATGATAGCTTTGTTTAAGTTAATGAATATTCTTAATTGTTTTTAATCAATAAATTCAACCATTTTCCCGTTGTAGTATACAATGTTGTTTACATGGTACAATCTAAGTGGCAGGGGAAGCAGTCTTTAAGAACTGTGACTACACCCGTAGACACACATTCATTATGAAACGAATGGCGTGACTGCACTTCTGCGAATTAAGGAAGACTGCAAGACTTATTCCATATCCTGGAAGGAAGGATAGGGTCTTCTTCTTCTGCACCAGTTGATTATTCTTTTCATTTAATTTGAAATCCTTAAGCCCCAATATGGATT